GGCCGACGTCGCGCGGCTCCCTTTGGAGTAGACCGGCCGTAAGTAAGCGGCGCCTACATTTTTCGCCTTCTTTCGTATCGTGCGGCTAATTAAATACATCGTACCGAGATACCGGCGAGATCTGCCTCTGAAAGCGAGCCTCTTTCCGCGCGCACAATCATTGTGATTTTCGCAGAGAGGCACCGGGGGAGGGAGGGAGTGCACCAGCTGTCGAGAAAGAGCTGTAAAAGAGCACGGAGATCAGTCGATTTCGGCTTTCCAAATTGCCCGTTGCGTTGCGAGTTCGGTGGTGTGGAAAGCGTCGGATAAGGGCGGCGATAGCCGACGCACAGGGCGCTCTGTTTTCCCGTAGGAAAACACATTTATTCCATATGTACAAAGGAAAGAGAGAAGGGAGAGGGAGAGAGAGGGAGAGAAGTACGAAATGGCGGAAACAAAAAACGGCAAACTGGCAACGAAATGCATCGGTACAATTGCACGCGCAAGCGGCTGTCACTCGTCATTACGCATCGCATTCGATTTTTTAACCATGTTTTTTCCTCGCGTTGTTCTTTGACCGCGTCTGTGTACCGGGCCCTTTGAAAAGTTCCGACATCTATTCTGTCAATTACTGATAAAAACGACGACAGGTTGGCGCGGCGCGAGCGACAGATCAGTACCGAAACCCCGGAGTTGCGGGATTGCGAGAATGTAAATTATCACGTCTGGCCGCACGATAAATAACGCGCGACCTCGCCGAACCCAAAAATGCGACGGTCATTTTGCGACTGGTCTAAAACGAAGAAAAAAAAAAAAAAAGAAAGGGCGGATGATCCCGACGAGGAGTAGGAGGCAGGCAACCTGCGCGTTATCCGACTAACTGCGAAAATCCGTTGAACGCCTCTACACGTCTCGTTTGTGTAAAGTGATACGATTCTTTTTTCCTCGCGCGCACGCGCCATGCATTCCCTACCCCCGTTTCATTGAATGCCGTGACGTTTGAGAAATTTCTTCCTTTACATCGAAATACTTTTGAAAGTCGCCCTCGATATCACGCGTGGTATCCCGCCCCTCCGACGCATGATTCCTCCGGTTATCTCAATCGTAATGGCGGTGTATTATGACGACGGGTCTAACCAGATTCGCCCAGAGATATGATTACGGTAGAAACGAGTTTTTCTTCGCTTGACATGCCGATGAAATATGATCGCGGCAACCGACGTACGTAGGGGAAGGCAGAGAGGGGAGCGGAGGAGAGGGTGAAATGGGGTGGGGACGTACGAGATGTAGGTTATACCTATACTAAGCGCCATCGTTCAGCGTGCATAATGTATCATAAAACGCGCGGCGAGATTATTTTTCGGAAAACAACGGCCGTTTCTATCGCGTTCGGTTAGGAAAAACGAGATATTTAGTAATCGTAGACTGTCTATACGCGTTTGCTACACAAAATAAAGTATCACGTTTATGATATAAATCTTTCTCTTATTACATCGAATTAAATATGCGACGTTTTTGGCTTTTATTCCATTTTACGAATAAGTGTATGATTATTCCCAATGTTTTTTCATATAGATTTTTCAAACGTCATTTTCTTACATTATTTCTAGCATCTAAAAAATTTACTAAATGTTTTGTCGATATCGAGATTGAAATTTTTTTTTTTAATAAAGTACAATTGAGAATCGAGAGGCAAAAACTAAAAGGTACTCGCTTTTCATGATGAGAAGGCTTAAATCTGGAATTTCACGTTGAGCTTTCCTCGAAATAGGATTGCTGTAAGCGAGTTCATTTGAAAATTTGCAGGACTATTTTCTGGATGTTCCCGAGGCAGCTACCGAGGCTCGATGTTCTCTTTATGGCGTCGAAAAATCTATTTACCGTTTGCCTCGCTCGCTTTTGGTTGTCGTGCTGAGGGCGAGCCGTGGAGAATCCATTTTGCAGCGTGACGTAGAAAAGGGACGTTGACGTACCGCGCGACCGAGAGAACGATAACGGAAGAGAGAACGAGAGAACAAAGACGAGAGAGAGAGAGAGAGAGAGAGAGAGAGAGAGAGAGAGACGAAAGAGAGAGAGGAGAAGAGAGAAAAAGAGAGAGAGAGAGAGAGAGAGAGAGAGAGAGAGAGAGAGAGAGAGAGAGAGAGAGAGAGAGAGAGAGAGAGAGAGAGAGAGAGAGAGCGAAAAGAAGAGGAGGACGCGAAAGAGCGGGCTGCCGTGCGTCTGCTCTGTAGATGCGTGCAATGTATGCGTGCAATGTATGCGTGCGTGCGTGTGCGCGTGCGGGATGTGTGTGTGATGTGTGCATTACAAAAGGTACTGGCGCATAACACCATATGAAACGCGCTACGCCGAGCCAGAAGTGACGTGTGATTTGGAAATATTCGCCGGCTACGTCATCGCGAATTACCGGGCGAATCCTGCTGTTAACCGGGCCACCACCGAGTGACATTTTTCGCAACGTTCACGCGTAGCAAAGTCGGATGCCTGTAACATGCACTCGTGTGTACGAGACTGGTCCGAAATACTGAGAAAACGCGAGCGATTCTCCGAAACAGCGAAAGGGATGAAGAGAGAGAAAATAAATGAAGAAAGACGTAATCTTGATAGAGAGCCACGTTCGCGTCCTCTTAGCTCGTGAGGAAGGCGCTCCTTTCCCACTCCACGAAGACGTCACCGCACGGACAGGCAAGCCTCCGAGGAAATCTTCGCAGTCGACCCGAGCTGTTTCCTTTTCCTCGAGTTAGACGGGACGAACGGGACGTATCTGCATTAATTATGGATTCCATCCATCCTATTGGTATCGTGCGGACCCTCCCCGCGCTTCGACTATCTCTCTTTCACGTTCCTCTACTTCCGCGAGACTTCCCTCCCCCTTTTTTTGTCATTCCCTTTCCGCCATCGTCGACGCGAGGAGAGGAGTGCCAATTTTCTGTACTCAATCCGCCGACCGATGGAAGGAGATCGGCGTTGCGCGAATTAAAAAAAAAGAAAAGAGGGGGAGAGAAAGACAAAAAAATTCCCGCGGATTTCCCCTGCGTGTTACCTGAATGCGGTCGGCGGTGCACGGCGGCTGTCGAGTAGAATTGCGGAAAACGGAGCTATTGAATTCAAATCGGCATCTCCGCTGGGGAAAATGATTCGTTCCACGCTGATCGTGGTTAACTCGTCACTCGTTACTAATGGAACGCTAGTTCCGCTACGTTGCAGGCAGTGCTTCGTTTTTCTGAAAGAGAACCGATATTTCGAATCGACTTCCCGCAATCGATAACTCGATCATGGTCGAGCGTTTTTGCCGGGGAACTTTTAAAAAGCGGCGGTAGTCGCACTGACCTTTCAATTATATCTACTTACCGTCGCCGCATTGACCCGACAACAGGCATGTTTTATATATCGCGCTGATATGACATTATCGTTCCCCATCGCTGAAACTCGCAAAGCATTCAAATCCGGCGGGAGCTTTCCAACAGCCGAATTAGGATTACGTCGCGACGTAATTAATTGACTGAAATGCCGGGGATGTATCATCGTCATTACGGAGTCAGCGTAAAGCTCGCCGGATTACCGACTGCGGCGACAGATTACCGCGTAATGATCGCACGACTAGCATTGCTTCCGATCATCCGAGCCTGGATATACGTTTGTTAAGGTCGCGCGACGACAAGGAACGATACCATGGTGTTCGTGTCGAGCTGCGAGCCTTTACAATACGCGCGAAGCGGGCTCGCGCGAAACGTCGCCTCGAGTCAGGTCGAGTTTAACGGTCTTAGAGTCACTGTAAGGTCACACTCCGATCTGCCAGATCGAGCTTGGTATCGGCGACCTCTGGCCACTTCTTCCGAAGTGTAAAAGTCCGGAGCGAATCGCACGCAACACGCGAACGATTAACGTATTTTCGACGGAAGATCGCAGGCGCTCGATAACGCGCGTATGCCAGACTTTCGACGAGTCGTTCGCGAGTAGTTTAATCGAGGCTGCGAGGTTGTCAGCCTCGCCGAGGCGACGCTGACACATGTTCGCGGTACGACACGCACGCAATTCAACGCGATGCGTGCGCTCGTCATTTAGCCGCCGAGTGCCGCTCCCCCGTGTGCGCTCGTGTGCGAGGCACGTGTTATTATCCGACTCTTCGAGAGGAGCCAGCTAAGCTCTTTTTGAGCTCGACTATAGGGAGCGGCAGTCACGCCGGCGGCGTTTTCTTTCATCGTATTCTCCACCCTCGTATTCGACACCCGCGACGCGGGTTTCAGTAGTCCGTCCTCCTTTTCCCGCTTCCGCGAGCATCCTTGGAACGCGGGTATTACATGTCGAAGAGGAGAACGTTACGCACGCGCTTTTGGTCCTTCTCCTCATCTTTTTCCGCACACAAACCGTATAACGGCGGAGTCTTTCTGCACTTGCGTGAGCGCGTCCAACGAAATTGCTACGACCACGGTTAATTTCGCGATACGATGGCGCGCACAAAGAGATCGAGTTGTTTTACCGTAGAATCATCACGGCGCGTTCGCGTTTCGCGTTTCGCGAGAGAGTGGCCGCAAAAAATTTTAATTTTTATAAGTATCGCGATATACGATAAAACTTTTTTTTATCACGCGTCATCGATCGAAAGCGATACGAGTGACAGTGACGGCATCGTAGCTAATAAGTAAACCGTAATAAATTACGAGGATCCAGGGCGTTTCGTTCGTGCGGAGGGATTATCTCGTCGCGTTTAAATAACGCGGCGTACGCTCGAGCGGACGAGCATATCGGTGCTTTCGATCTAGTTTTGCGCGCGCGACGCATGCGACTCGACTCTCTTTTATACGCGCGATCGAACGCGAGATACGCGCGTGGAAAAGTGGCTCGTCGCGCTCGGCTCTCGTAGATTTCGAGAGTCCTAGGAGGAGTGCACACACACACCCGCGGTTTTTGTTTTGTTCCGCGGTCATTGTCCTCGCGCACGAAAGTGCGTCCATCGCGGTGCGAGGAACTGTCCGTCAAGAGTTTACAATAACACTAACCGTGGATTTTGTTTTACTCACCGGTATTCTGCGCGATAATCGGGTCAATCGCCAGCAACACGACGAGGAAGATAGGAGTCATATTGACCACCTTCTTTCCCGTCTTCCCTCGATCACCCGTGATCACTGCACACTTAACACCACCGTCGCAGCGTGCCACCTATGAAAAGATAAACCACCTTCGTCATAAACATACCACCTTCATCACTGTGGGGGAGAGGGCAAACAGAGGCAGGACGACGAAAGATGACACGTCCCCGTCTTCCTGACGAAGAGGTTGTCGCAGGCGTGGCGCCGTAGAGCAAATTTCGACGATATTCCTTCTCCCTCGTCGCACACACAGGCGCCGCGCGGTGAGAAGCCTCCGGGAAAGGGAAAAATTGGACACGTTGTATTCTCGAGCAGTACGACGCGAGCGGCAGCGCTGAGATTAGCGCGCGCTAATCGCGGAATAGTTTTCAGCAGGGAAATAAGCGTAACGAGGTTTGAGCTACGCGTAAAAAAATACTTGTCGTTTCTAATACGTTTACGGTATGACTGTACAAAACGACGGAAGGATGCGAGAGTGCCTATTCAGTGGCTATCGAGGAAAAGTATCGACACACGCCATTTACCACTTTCTCTCTATTTCTCTCCGCTCCTCTCTCTCTCTCTCTCTCTCTCTCTCTCTCTCTCTCTTTCTCTATCTCTCGCGCGCGCACAGTAAAATATTACGCGAATATATCGAAAAGCGGTCGGTGTAGGCGGTCGTCGGCATCGACATTAAGGAAGAAAGAAGCGCGCGTTTTCCTCTGAGCCGGTCGCTGACATCGCAATAATGGCCGCGAACGTTGTGCCACTTTGTCGCAGCGATCCGCATACGTTCTCTCTCTCGCGCGAGCGGGAACTATTTACATTCTTCCGGCGTCCGCTCGTGTTCGCTCTTGCCGATTTAATGGAAGGATCAATTTTGGAAAAGGCGTCACTTCTGGACTGGCCTCCGAAAGACGGACGTCTCGATGTATTTCCCAGGAGGTAGAAGGCTACTTCTCTCTGAAGGCTACTTCTCCGTTTTGTTCGCGAGTTCTTTCTTTTTCTTCCGTTTCTGCCGAGTCACCTCCGCTCGTCCGTCCTCGTGTCTTCGTTTTCTCCGCTCTCGACGCCGATAACGACAGCCACTAATAAGCTACACACGACGTTCGATAATTCAGAGATCCTCGCTTCGACGATGCGAACGATTATCTGCCGCCTTGTCCGACTCTCCTCTACCGTTCTGTTGATTTTCAAAAATCCCACATTCTTGACTGTGGGCTCTATCTCGTTGCAATTATCTTGACTCTTTCTTCCTGTGATTCCACGACCATCCCATATTTTTTGCGCGTTCCACGCTCCAAGCCGAGAGCCCTCACGACAAAGCTTCCGCTGAGCTTTGCCGCGCGAGACGTTGACCCTGGACCTGGTGCTGGCCACGGTTCCGGCTCGCGTTACATCCTCCAGGTAACTGATTGCAATTGTTCCTCTCTGCTTTTACACGGCTTCCACCAAGCGAATAGACTTTTCATTTTCCACCCGCTGCTTCTGATCTTTTTCTTTTGATTCTTTGAAGAAAGTATATGATGTAACTTCTTTAACGCTGAAAATGGAGAACTGCTTGCTGGATGAAACCGATGCACTCCGACGCAGTCCTTTTCACGGTGGAAACAATGGCGAGGTGTTGCAAAACGTAGGACGTTCTCTTCGATTTTTCGCCAAGAAAATGCGAACGTTCTGTTTTAACGATCGAACGGAGCCCAGCGAAGAGTCGGGCAGAAAAATCTTGCGAGAGAGAAACAAGACGACAAGAGTTACGATTAATAGTGGCTCGCGTGATGATATTTGTACGGCAGTTATATAGAGCCCGGTTCGTTGCACTCGCGACTACGAGCTCCTTCGAATCTTGTTTCGTGCTACCATCCTCGCCGCACGCGACGTTACGTTCTCACCATCCGATCGCTGTAGGTATATTTTCCACGGTGTTTTCCGCTGCATTTGTATATCTTCCGGAGTGATTCTCGTTGCGCCACTCTCTTGTCTTCGGCGTCGCTGTGCCTGACGTCGACGTGGACTTAATTCAGTTTCTCGAATTCGCGAACGTTCGCGTCCCCGACTATCCTTCCCACTCTTGTCATTCGACTTTTCGGGTCGAAATACACCACGTAAATTTTTAACAACGATAGATCTCTCGGCAGCTACCCCTACGCATTTCGGTGTCTGCCTGTCTCTCTACACGGCGTGAAACTCTAAATAATGCCGTGTACGTTCCTCGTGCAAAATCAAGAAGATCCGTCGTGGCAGAAGTTTCACGTTTTCGAGTATCACAGGAAGGATTCAGGGTGAACGCGAGTCTCGAAATTTCTCTCTATTCGCGTATTCGCGACTCAATTATAAATTACTCCGGCGAACGTATGAGACCCCGCGTTAAGGGTAGTTTTCTGAACGCGCGCTGCGGCCTGACTGACTCACCCCCATGCCCCCCGACGACACCCCCTACCCTGCTCGTCCACCACCGACATTCCTGACGCAGGCGCGCCGCCCCTCTCGGCCTAGATAGCCGTATGTACATGTACGAATTCGCGCCAGACCAGATTTTACGACGATCGGGAGATGCTCTTGGTTCTTCTTTCTCTTGTTTTTCCTCTTTCCTTATTGGACTAAAGTCGAGAGTTACGAGCGGGTTTATGCATTCCAAGACATCGAGGCATAGCCCACGGAAGAACCTGTTGGCCTTGGATGCTTTTCAATAGCCTCCGCGCAATGCTTTTGTTAAAAAAATGTTTTGTCCCATCTATTAACATTCTTGTTAATAATCAGAGAAAATAATTTTTCTTCGTCCAAAAATGCGTGCGTCATAGCAACAGCACGGCTTCCGAGAGTGTGCTTCTCTAAATTAATCAT